GACTCTCTGTGGTCATTAAAAATCCCAGGGCGTTTCTTGAAAAGAGTAGGGGTGTAACCCTGGTGTCTTGGCCAAGTTTCCCATTGGCCCTTACCAATTATGGTCTTCTAATAATCCCCATTTATAAATTGGCTTCATCACTCTGTTCCCATTACCTACAAAGCACTTTAAGTGGAGTGTCCAAAAAAGCGCTATATAGAACTGTAAGGTGATTAATCTGCAATATTAATGTGAAGCTGCGGAGGCAATATTTTGGAACTCTGTGTTGGAAGCCTGCTTATTCCTCTAATTTAGCAAGTGGCAAAGGTGGTTTGTTAATCTGCCCTTGTCTGCCAGTGCCATCTCTTCTCTGTTAATTGAACTTTGTTCCACACTGTACGAAGGGGTTGATTACTGGACTGGGGGAATGAAGCTTCCCTCTGTTTCCAAAACGCCTGGCAGTAACTCCCAGGGTTCCCTGTGTGAGTATTCTTAACTAAACCCGAATTACTACACCCAAAAATATAGTGAATGTGGTGTACATTAACTCCTCCTTAATTTCCTGTTTGTCTCACCTTCGCTACACTAACAAGTGGATTTCAGTTGAATTTGCTGGTGGGTTCTTTTTCCTTTCACGATTTAAAGGATACCTGCGCAGGCTTTTAGCAGCAGCTGTTTAAGGATGATAATTTCTCATTTATTTGGCTGATGCCATCAGATAAGGTCACTTTATCGGCCATATTCAATTTGTTTGCATTAGGAATGTGTCTTTTCACATACCCCGGCTTGCTCTCCATGAGACACACAGGAGAGAAGCTTGGGGTCAGAGCACAGGGTCAGCCATCTATACAGCACCCCTGGAGCAGCTGGGGTTAAGGGCCTTGCTCAGGGGCCCAACGGAGTAGGATTCCTTTACCGGCCCCGGGATATGAACCGGTAACCTTCCAGCCACAGGCACAGATCCTAGCCACAGAGCCACGGCACCACCTTCACATTACATGACTTACATTTGCACCCATTTGTGCGGCTGATTATTTTGCTGAAGCTGTTCAGGTGAAGTATCTTGCTCAAGGGCACAGTAGCAGTGACTCACAGTGGATGTGATCCCACAGCCATACAGTTACAAGTCCAAAACCCTGACTGGGGCTCAGCAATATGGCCTAAAATGTATACCACGGTATAATTTTATTTTTGGATGGTAACGATGTATATCGCAATATAGAAAAGTTTCTCATAATTTCAATAGAACATGCTTTAAAAGGAGCACAAAACTTGGATAGTAAGATTTTATTGCCTGGAGTTAAGTATTAGGTTATTATTAACTGTTGGTTAGCTACTGTGTGGTTCTATTTTTCGCATTAAACTGAAGTAGAAGTCGAACATTTTAAGAATTTTTTTTTTTGCAGAACTGAAACAATACAATAAACTTATGAACATGAATTAAATAAGTAAATATGTAACACTTCAAATAAAATTCTTATAAACTTAAATATGTAATACTTCTTGTAAAACACTAAAATTACAAAAATAAGTTAAAAAATATTCAAGCGTTAAAGTAATAACAAATGGTTGCTTAGTGTAAAAATGTGAAAAAGAGCGGGCGTTCCACACACTTCAGGTTACGTGCCAGAAAGACGAGCTTGTCAGCAGTGCAGATCTGGGACGGGACACCCTCCTTTTCAGCAATCTCGTCGCTTGTTCCCTGCCTCTCCACGTCTCCGCGTGTTTGTGTTTGCAGACGGGCACGCCGAGCACGAGCGTTTGTTTTCACTGAAAAGGGGAAGAGGACGCCCGCGCGTTTTTATGTGCTGCAATGACCTCAGATGCGTCATAAACTGGATGTCTGAACCACCGAAGCTCAATAAATCTGATCAGATTTCCAAATATCAGCAAGATGAATTATATAATTGGACCTGAAATACGGCAGAGTTTTAAATTATGACCAGTCAATAGTAAACATTTCCAAACACCGTTTTGCGACAATGCTGGCGGCACAATCTATGTAAACATAAAAATCCATTCTCTAACGGTATGAACGGTATAGCCAGATCCATATCATGGCACATAATTCTACCGGTATACC